TCATAAAAAATATTTCATTTATATTAATATCTAATGGGTTCAATATTGTTATTTTTACATGATTCAATAAATAAATATTCTATGAATGTGTCAATTTTAATTTTTCATATGGTAAATATCGACAGATTTAATCCATACAAAGAAAAGCTCTTTTGGCATCCTCCATAATTTTTAAAAGGGGAAAGGGTCCTGAGAGCAAAAGGTTTGAGAAACAGTGGTCTAGATGGTAGATTATTTAATTTGTAAATGTGTTGTCTTATTTAAGGGCAATTAATTTTAATCAGTAGTTACTAATTCATTTATTTTAAAAAATTTTCCTGGTCTAGACCTTTATTTGGAGGGTTGCCTCTGGCAAATATATTTATAAACAAACATACAGGTGTGTCACCTGTCCCTTTTTTAGTTGAGGATGGGTAATCTCCCACATAGCTTTCAGTTTGGGTTGACAGCTCTGAGTTAACAAGATGGGGAACCTTTGTGCTTGATGTTTTTCCTGCTTGCTTTTCCTTTGTGGAAGAGGATCATCTAAAATCAAAGGCAATCTTTCTCAGGTGAATACTGTATTTTCTCTCACTTCCTTTGGACCTTTAGTTGATTATTCCTCTGTTCTTTCAAATGTTGTGATAAATATTATTGCACATTTTATTATTTAATAAGATTGTGTGTATTAATGTTAGCATATATCAGACCAGGCTCCAAGTTCAACAGCTGGGATTGGTGGCTATTTCTGTATAATATGTTATGTTTAACTGCTCCCAAGTAAAGCATGTAGTTGTGTTCATTTAGTCACCAGGGGTCAAACTCAGCTTGAGGGTGTCTTTATTTTTACTGTTGTTGATTTACTTTAGTTGTCTGTAGATTGCAGAATAAGCAAGCCTTAGAGATATTATCCTATTTTAGTATAGTGTCCTATCCATTGGATTTCTATGTCATGTCAGATGAAGGTTGGAAATTAGGGTACTCTATATCTATCATCTCTATCTCTATCTTCTTCCAGTGTCCTTTTATCTTCTCCAGGAAAAGAAGTCCCATGTGTGTTCTGGTGATCTTGTTCCATTTTTCTCAACTGTTTTTCCAGTTATATTTTTTCCTTTGGTGACCAGCTTAATTTGCTTTTCTGAAGGTCAAATCTATTCCTTCCATCATTTTCTGTGCCAACCAAGTTTGCCCTACACCTATAGCATTTAAAAAATAGCAATATTTTGCAAATGCTATAATTAATTTTACGCCAAACTAAATCTTTTCTCATATGTTCTAGATGTTCCAACCTTGGTTTCCTTGGTTTCCAAATCTTGGTTGGAAAGGAAGGGAATTTTTATTCATTCCCTTGATTTTTGTTAAAAATGCATCTTGTGATCCTTAGTAATGCACCTAATGTTAGACAATTTGTATTATAAACACCTTTCAACAGAATAACAGCAGAAATTTTAATGTTAAGTTATACCTTCAAAAGTTTTAAATAGATTTTTAAAGCTCCCAAACTGCAGAAAATAGGCTTCGTAGTTCATCATGTCCCCAGCCAACAATATCTCCTCCTTCCTTTTAAATATGGATAGTAGTAGAATCCTAAATTTTGGTCCTAGTAATGAGTTATGGGGCTTTTACAAACCAACTTAATGAATCGTGTTGGTGAAGTATCAGTTGTCACAGGGAAAGGAAATAAGTTTAATAACTTAAGACCACAATAAAGTCTCAAAGCTACCAGGTGAGTCTGATAACACATGGATGGCTTATCTGCAGTTTTTAAGTAATTGTCAGCATTTCATTCTAATACAATTCTACATTGCTGAATTATGAAAACTAAATTAAGAACTTGTTGCTGTAATTGTAGACCCTGTGTAAGCAGATCAAGTACGTTTTCATTACTGTGTATTTTGGGGGGGAGCTTACATTGTTATTGCCTTTTCACAGGTATTGCTGTGATAGAAGACTTTACAGGCTTCAGGAAAGTGCAGTGATAGCTTACTTGCTAGGGTCATCCAGAGTGAAGTGAAATTATGGGTATAAAATATGCTGTGCAGGTTTTGTTTTTTTTTTAATCCTGGAAAATGCAAGTACAGTGGTACCTCGGGATACGAA